TTTACGTATCTTTTTTTTTTTTTAAAGATTTTATTTATTTATTTGACAGAAAGAGATCACAAGTAGGCAGAGAGGCAGGCAGAGAGAGAGTGGGAAGCAGGCTCCCTGCCGAGCAGAGAACCCAATGCGGGGCTCGATCCCAGGACCCTGGGATCACGACCTGAGCCACCCAGGTGCCCCTTACGTATCTTTCATTTTCTAGGCATTTTTAGTTAAAAAAAAAAAAGCCTCTGCTAATTACTGTTATCAAAGGAATTCTAGATATCATCAATAAGTAAGTCGGGTAGTATTTTTTTGGTTGGCGGGGAGGAGAAGCCGCTATTGCCTCTGAAATCTTGTCAGGCTAGCATTGTGGGGTGGACAGGCAGTCAAGTTTATCAGAAAGAATCTTTAATTTCACACAGGATGCACCCTCTTTGAAGGCTGTTCCCTGACTATTCCTAGAAGCAGCTGAAATTTCTCTTAGAGGAAGAACTAAGTCTGATTTTTAGCTGTTTCTCTCTCCCTCTTTATCTTTTTTCAGAGCCTGGTGTTACAGGATTTTTTTCTCCATCCGTGCCCATGGTTCTCGGTCACGTTGCTTTGAAGAATGAAGAAGCAGACCAGACAGAGTGGTGGGCAGCAAAACAAGGTTTATTGAGTGATAGTACAAAGCACCCTACAAGGGAGGGGACCTGAGAGGGTTGACACTGGAGTTTCTAAGTCCAGGGGTTTTTATGGGCTTGCTGGCCGTGTTGTTTTAATCTGATTAACCCTCCCTGTGCCTGTCATCCAATCACGTTTTTGTTATCTATCACAGGGGAAAAGGTGGAGGGCTTCTTCCAAGGTGGTGTAAAATCCTTTTAAGGGTAGTTTCCTCTTAGAGTGGGGGCCCCTTCTCCATGCCTGCCTGCCTTCTAACTATCCTTCATCACTAGTACATGCTAGAAATTCATTAACTGCCAAATAAACAAATGGATGGGATTGTGCTTTCACCAGCCTCTATCTTGAAGTCTAGAGAGCAGGAAGAAACTGCATAAAAAATTCTGTAGAATGAGGGGCGCCTGGATGCCTCAGTTGTTAAGCATCTGCCTTCAGCTGTGGTCATGATCCCAGGGTTCTGGGATCGACATTGGGCTCCTTGCTCATATGGGAGCCTGCTTCTGCCTCTCCCTCTGCCTGCTGCTCCCCTTGCTTGTGTTCTCTTTTTCAAATAAATAAATAAAATCTTAAAAGAAAAATTCTGCAGAATGAACGTGCCACCAAGTAGGAACAGTCCACTGGCACACTACAGGGGATTTTGGCTTTGGGGCAATCGTTTGTAAGGCCTCTCTCTTTCCTTGTGTGTATTATTAAATGCTGCCCCCTTTTTTCAGTCTCTCTAATCCACCTCCCCCCCCCTTATTTTAAAAGAAATTTAACATTTGGAAGGTCCCTGAAAGTATTGTGGGTCCTAGGCACTGAGTCTTTTGTGCCTGATGGATAAGTCGTTCTCATTTTGTTCATCACCACTAGTAAGACTTAAACTGTACCTGAGAGGTAGAAAACTCAAATGCTTACTCAAATGCGTACAAGCAGGCCAGGGTGCGGCATTTGTCCACCACACGTGTGGTGAAGATCTAGTGAACTGGAGTGCTCAGCTCCCTTAAAGGTTGCTGTGGCTCATCTCTACTGAGCTGTTGCCAGACTTTCCCATTTTTCTTTTCTTTTTCTCTCTCTCTCTCTTCCTTTTTAAAAAGATTTTATTTATTTGAGAGAGAGAGAGAGAGAAAGAGAGAGAGCACAAGCAGGTGGAGCAGCAGAGAGAGAGAGAGAAGCAGGCTCCTTGGAGCCTGATTCAGGAATCGGTATCAGAACCCTGGGATCATGATCTGAGCTGAAGGCAGATACTTAATTGACTGAGCTACCCAGGCATCCCATAGACTTTCCCATTTTTCAAGAAACGCTGGAAACCCTGAGCATAAAAACATAAAAATCTCTGAATTTTAAAATGCTAGCTCAAATTTAAAAAATCAAAAACCTTCCTGGTTGAACCAAACAAAACGCCTTTGTGGATCCCACCTGGCACTACTTTGCAATCCCCGTTGAACATAGCTGCAGGAAGAGCCCTTTAAAGCAGGTAGATGACAGGGACTAGAGAACCACCAGCACAGTGGGAGGAGAAAAAGAGCATGATTTTAGTGTGATTGTAAAAAGTAATTCTAATTGTAGTAAATTGTATGATTTTCTTACAACTTATGTGTAGTCCCTTGGCCATAGTAATCATGAATCTAATTAAAAATTTCAGATTGTGTCATATTCCATTTGGATGATTCATGCTATGCCATCCTCCTTAATTTGTGGTTTGAGTAATAGGGGCAAGATTTCATGACATATATGTGTTGAGGAGAGCTTTGCTTATATTCATGATTGTGTTTTTAAATGTATACTTAATTAGGCCTTAATAAAAGCCTATGTATTACTTTTTGTCAGGTCACATTTGTCCGGCTTTCTTTGGTACTTTACTGTATGAAAAAGAGAAAGAAGTGTGTGTTCTTTTATTCTAACTCTTTAGGGGTAAACATTTGGCGAAAATTATTTTTGTGAGCAGTAGAACTTTGGGGATTTGAATGAAAAGCATGCATTTATTCACTTTGTAGACAAAATCAGCTTGCAGCTAACATGACGAGGCACAGCCAGTCCCACTCTCCTTCTTCCTTTATCTCAGCTGATGATTTCACTTTCTTTTTTTTTTTTTTAAAGATTTTATTTATTTATTTGACAGAGAAACAATGAGAGAGGGAACACAGGCAGAGGGAGTGGGACAGGGAGAAGCAGGCTTCCCACTGAGCAGGAAGCCCAATACAGGGCTCCATCCCAGGACCCTGGGATCTCAACCTGAGCCCAAGGCAGATGCTTAACAACTGAACCACTCAGGCACCCCAGTGATTTCACTTTCTCACCCTAGATTGTAAACAATTAAGGTCCAGTCTGATGAGCATTTTGAGTGGGAAAGTGTTAGGTTCCTATGGAAACAGAAGCAGAGTCTCTATCTTAGGCTTGTTGGGGGATCTCCCTCCTGTCAGCTTTAAGACTTCCTGGAGAAAGTGATATCTTCGGTAAGAACGTAAAATTGATTTACTTTTCAATTAAAGACCAGAATGAGGGTGGGAGAAAAAGCCCGGAAGTGAAAAAGTGTCATAAAACCCGAGACTGGAAATAAATTCAATTGGACTGGAGAATGCAAAGCATTATTCCAATTTAATTTTAATGCATGGCACTTGTCACTTTCTGATCATTTCTTGTTTGCTTATTTGTCTGTTCTTCCATCCCCATTTGCTCACACAGAAGCCCTAAATTGCTGATTCCTCATTGCCAGGTACATATGAGTGTTCACCTTTACTGAGGACCTGCCATGGATCAGATCCTGTAATAAGTGCTTTGCTCATGGCCACCCAAACTCCCTTCCTTCCCCAACACCTCCTCCCACCCCCGCCACCGGCAGACAACAGTTTACTTCCTCAGAGTTGGCTCAAATGCTCCCCTCTCTCTGAAACCTCCCCAACTCTTTACCCAACCCTTACTCTCAGAATTACTTCTTTCAGGGTCCTCCCTCTCTTTGGTCTCTCTTTGCAGCATCAATTTAATTCTGGTTTTCTTTTCCCCATTCTTAAATTCTAAATCACAGGAAGGCAGTGATTTTTTATTTGTCTCTGTAAGGCTCTCAACACTTTGGACAGGATTTTATACACAAAATAGGGCTCAAAAATATTTTGAATAGATGAATTTTTCTTCCCTTCCTACAGTCCTGAGAGCAATCTTTCAAAACTTCAAGTCTGACATCACAGACCTATTTAACCCTGTTGAAGGCCACTATTCATCTCAGACTAGGATTCTAATTCCTAAGCACCTGCTCACTTCAGGGCCCTATGTGAACTTGCTCCCACCCATCCCTCCAGCCACAACTCTCTCTGTATCTCTTCTAATAAAACTTGTCTGTGTATGGTGACTGCACAAGGAGCTGTACTGATTCATGTTACTAGGCTCCCCCCCCCCCCCCCAGGCTTTTATTTCAACTACTCCCTCTACCTGGAATGCCCTTTCCATTTTCCTTGCCTGGCTCAGTTCAGGCACGATCTTCTCAAGCAAATTTTCCTTTTTTTTTTTTTTAAAGTAGGCTTCATGCCCAGTGTGAAGCCCAATGCCAGGCTTGAACTCACAACCATGCAATCAAGACCTATGCTGAGATGGACTTAGATGCGCTTAACCCATTGGGTCACCCAGGCACCCCAAGTTTTCCTCCTTTGAATACAGATCCCATTAAGAACTTTAAAAAGGTGGTTGGTAAGTAAAGTTTATGGTGCACCTCTCCATTTATGTGATTAAAAATGAAACCACTAAGACAGGAAATGTAATTTTAAATGTTACACACCTTACTTATATGCTAGATTTAGAATACGGTCTATGATTTTCTCTCCATCTCCCTCTCTCTGCATGTACCCACTTTGTAGATACCCTAACAGTGTATCGGATAACTCCATGGCCGGATTTTCAGGTTGGGTCAATGCTCATTTTCTCCACTCTCCAGGCACTGGTTTGTTTAAAACTAACTTGAGCAAATTCCAGGTTTGCCTTTCACACTAAGGCGTAAGCCCGGGAGCTGGCGCGAACGCCGTCTTTGGCCATGGATCGCGGGGCCCCCAATCAGCTCCCTAGCCGACCGGTCCGTATTATCTTTAAGGAGTCGTTCTGTCCTCACCCAGGTAATTCAACTGGCTCGCACCTATCAACGGCGGGAACTGGGGAAAAAAGTGAAATATCAGCCCGCCCTGAAAGTTAGTACAAGGAGATTCTCCAAATTCTAGGACCCCACACGTAAGACAGCCAGGTGAAACACCCACTAAACCCTGCGAACTCGTTTAGGTCGGGGAAACTACCGCCACCGGAAGTCACGTGGCACAGCTCCGCCCCGAATTCCCTATCTCGGCAGTCGATTATTCAGTCTTGCAGGCGCCTCTGGCGGGCTCAACTGAGATCCACTCTTTCGGTGCTCGACTCGCCCGTGCTGCTGCGGCCGCCGAAGGAGGGGCAAAGCTCAAGATGGCGGACAAAACGCCAGGCGGATCTCAGAAGGCCAGTTCGAAGGTAATTTCTTAGAGGACTTCGTAAGTCATTGAGTTTATCACTGTCATCTGGGGCCTACAGACGCTTCTGGCCAGCGGGAGGAGGTTGGAGTGGGATTCCATGTTCTGGTCACGACTGTAGGCCCGGGGCCCGACGCACTGTGGTGCGCAGGTTGAGAGGCCTGGTGTCTCCCTTTAGTCCCAGCCTGGATTCGGCTCGAGACTGGCGGGCCCGGGGTGGGTGGCCTGATTAGTTCGGCCTGCGTTTGGCATTGGAGTGAAGTCAGGGATTTAGACTGAGGTTTGAAGCCGTGAAAACGCGCCCCTGTATTTGTTTGTTGATCTCTGAGGCCGCCGGACAGCACTTGGGAGAGGCTGGAATCGCTTCCCGGTGTTTAAGTGTTTGCTTCTCTTTCCTCGGTTCTTTGGTTTTCGATCTCACACACTTCCGGTGTCCCTCAGTTTCCCTCTTGCCCTCCGGGGAGTAAATAACATCTAGGGCTGCAAGTTGTGAGGGGAGGACCAATGGTGGAGGGACGCGGGGTGGGAAGTGCAGAGGCGGGAGCAGCTCTCCTTTGCAGAGCTGCATCACCAAGGTTATTGCTACGCTCTACACGTGGTCTTACCTCACTTAAGAGGAAGTATAAAATAAGCACTTTTTTTTTTTTTTTTTTTGAGTGTTCAATTTCAAGGACTCAGGGTTTCCTGCATCTCCATGTTGTGTGTTCCACTGAAAAGAGAACTTACAAAGATTTGGAAGCCACTCAAAATTGTTAAATTAATTTTGAGTTAACAGGGAACCGTGTGCACATAATTGTGAAACCACTGAGCTGTAGAAGTAGTTTAACAGTAGTAAGGTGGTGGTTAGCCTCAGGTCTTAGTTGCCATCTTGGGCCGGTCATTTAATTTTTTTTTTTTTTTTTTTTTTTTTACTTCTAGTTTTTCATCTTGAACACGATATTAAAAGTAATAGGTACTGCCTGAAGTAGTTATTAAGCTTTTTATGCTAATGCAAGAAGTTGTGTAACACTTAAAGGCTCTAGGGACTGTTAAATCTTGCAGAGTGATTATAAATCGGTAATTAGGAAGTTTAGGGTGGACAGGGCGAGTCCTGCGATTAGTTTGTTCTGAGAAACAACCCATTTTATATTTGTTTTATGTCTAATCACAACCCATTTTATATTTGGTTTATGTCTAATAAATCATAATCTTTATGATATTTTGTGAATGATGTTTATAATTAGTTTGTAATTAGTAATGTCTTTACCCCTCATCCTTTAATTTTGTAGAAACTGTGGTAGAGGGCCAGTTTTGGCTGTTTTTACATCCTACTTTTACTCCTTGTCAGTTTCTTCCCTCTCCAGTACCTTTCCCTTGGTGTTGAGCAGAATGGTTGGGTACATCGCTCAGGTCACTACCTCACAGAGCCACAAAAACAGCCCTGCTTGCTGCTGTTAGGGAACTGTTGATAATGCTACTACACCCTTAATAATTTGCGCAAAAGTTTCACAGCTTTAGTTTCTTTCAAAGTAATATTTTAAGTATCTCCTACTTGACCCCTTGGATACATGGAAAACATTTCAATGTATATGTTCAGGTTTCCTTCTAAAATACTACTTCTCATGGTTTTGTGTGGCTGTTCCTATAAGTAAATTGTTGGATCTTCCAATAATAAATCTTTTCAGTTTATATATTGCTTTAGATTATCATCCGTTCATGCTATTAAGAGATTGCTTACCGATGTCTGTAAAAGGAATCAGAGTATCTCAGGACTCAAATGATGTTGATGTGATTTTCTTCATTAATATGAAGAGCTGCATGATACAGTTGAAGATTATAGATTTTGATGACAAACAAAAGACATTTGGATTCAAATCCTGAAGTGGTAATTGATTATATTTGTGATAATAAGGCAGATTGCTTAAACTCTCGAACCTCAGTTTTCTCATTTGTAATATGGGTCTAATCTCTTTTTTACAGGGTTGATGTAAGGATTAAATGAATAAATGTCTATGAAGTACATAATCTTTGTTCCTTTTCCCTCTCCTTTTTGTCCTTACAGGAATTAAAAAGTACTAACTTTTCAAAACGGTGGATAAATTCTAATCCTAAGGTTTAGAATCTAAGTAATCAACTATCATATAATGACTGCCCACATTGCTGCTTTGTTTCTCACACAAGTCCAGAATTTATTGGAGATAGTATCAGATCTTTTTGGCTAATACTACAATATTTGGAATTTCTAGCCTTTGATCTTTGTGGTTTGATTTTCTTTCCTCTGGGAGATCAGATGAGTGATGTATTCTATAGTACAGATGGAATGAACAGATTCTTTTGTTTCATGCTCACTCTTCTTTGGTAGTTAAATTCCCATTGATATAGGTTGGGATGCTTTTTAATCATATTTCTGCACATTGAGGAAAATGTTAATTTAAAAATGTACAAGGGAATGTAATGTACAGCATGGTGACTATAGTTAATACTGTATTGCATATTTGAAAGTTGCTGAGAGAGTTGATGTTGAAAGCTCTCATCACAAGAAAAAAATTTCTGCATAGTGAAATATGTTAACTAGGCTTACTGTGGTGATCATTTCATAATCTATACAGATACTAAATCATGTTGTGTACCTGAAACTAATATAATTTTGTCGATTGTACTTCAATAAAAATAAATTAAAAATAAAATGTTCAGTATTCAGGATTTCTTTATTGATAATGGCAAAATTATTTGATGTGTCTTAATTGTAATTATTTTCTATGCATTTATTACCAGATTAAAGTATTGCTTTAGAATAGGAGAGGGCTGTTGGTGCCATGTTGTAGCATTGATTTTGGGAGGAGAATAATTGTTTCCTTAGAAAATTGTTAAGCATATTTCCTTAGAATTTAATTTATAAAGATTGGTTTATTATTTTGATTTTAAGAATTTTGTTTGCTGGCACAGCAAAATGAGGATATGAAATAAATGTGGTAGTTTCTTTCTTTTTACATTTTCTGTATGGGATATACTGTGATCGTAATGGAGTTATGTGTCCTGTTATTTCTCTCTGTGAAAATATTTCTTTTTTGCCATATTGTCAGAAATTGGGCTAGGTATATGAACATGTAGAAGATATTGCTGGCTTCCTTAGACATTTAGTGCTGAATTGGTTAGGGAACTGTTTTGATTGCTGATTAATGAAAGTATTTTACTTCTAAGAAACAAGTAAAATGAGGATACATTCAAGGCTTCTGATCCTTAGGTATTTATTACTGTTTGTGTATATTCTTTTGTTGGTACCTAAAGATATGTAAGATATAAATATGGTAAAATACTCTATTTTTAAATTTTATTTTTATTTTATTTTATTTTGGGGGGGCAATAAAGCAAGGTTTATTGAGTGACAGCAGAGTGATAGTACAAAGCTCCCAAGGAGGGAGGGGACCTGAGATGGTTGCCCTAAATATGGTAAAATACTCTAAATGAAACAAATCTTGAAAATTAGGTTCTTCATGGGTTGCTAGTTTTGGTTTAGATTAAAAGTTTGTTATGATATTGTAATTTTATCTTAAAATATAAGGTAGATAGTTTTGTGGGTGGAAGTTTGTTTTTTTGGGTGGAGAGTTGAATTATGAACTTCTGTTTTCTTGATTGATACTCTTTTAGAGTATTTACAGCACTGGTGCTTGAATGTAACTTTTTTTTTTTTTTTAATTTTATTTATTTGACAGAGAGAGACACAGCGAGAGAGGGAACACAGCAGAGGTGGTGGGAGAGGGAGTAGCAGGCTTCCTGCTGAGCAGGGAGCCCAATGGAGGGCTCCATCCCAGGACCCTGGGGTCATGACCTGAGCCTAAGGCAAACACTTAAGGACTGAGCCACCCAGGCACCTCTTGAATGTCACACTTGATATGGTTTTTAAAATTCCCATCTTACTAGATTGTTTTCTGAAAGTCCAGCTTTTCTTTTCTTTTTTATTCCTGGAGATTTTTTTCTTCCTGGAAACTAAATCCATGGAACATTCTCCTTTGCCTTAGTGGCAAAAGAAAGAGGGGTTCATTTGGTGTGCAACTTGAAGACTGCTGCCTCTCTACCACTTTTTCACAAAGAGCATTGTTTTTTTAAAAATAAAATAAAAACTTGGCTACAGGATATTAAACTCGAAAACATTAATATTACAAATAACTTGCCTCATTCTGTTTTTAAGTAGTTTTAATATTGCAGATCAGACATGTGTTAGATATTGTGCTGAAATAATTTTTCAAAAAGCAAGATGCATTTGCCAGTAGCACTCAACGCTGTTTGGTACTGTTAGCTGTCTCTTCCTTTAGGAGTTAAATTTTTTCACTAGACTTTCCTCAGTTTAGATTAACTATGGGATATTCAAATGTACTTAAAATTTTCGTGCATTGGTTGTGTTTTGAATATAACTTTAAAAGTCATTTCGAGTTTTTATTTAACTTTATGTTACATGGTACATGTCTTAGTGATCTATAAAGTTTTTTTTGAGAGGTGACCCTTGGTTTGCCTTGGAGAGTGATATTAAAGTAGGTGGCTGCCACTTGTTAGTGAGTGGGCAGCAAAGTATGTTGATAGTGGAGTGTAACAATTTTGTTGGGTAGGTACTTGTTCTAGTAGGTAAAGTCAACCAATATAGAGAGACTCCATCACTTGGCAGATCTGGTGCTTGACTTTGAGAAGAAAATATTAAATGAGACTATACAAATTGGGGAGTGTGCTGTCTAGTGGAAGAAAAGTCAACAGATAATAGCACGAAGTAGAGGTATCTAAAAGTTTAGAGAGAAGTGACAGCTGGTTAAATGGAGGGTGGGAAGGAGAAGGCTTTAAGAATAGAGGAATTTGGGTGCCTGGGTGACTCAGTTGGTTAAATGGCTTCCTTCGGCTCCGGTCATGATCCCAGGGTCCTGGGATCCAGCCTCTCGCATCAGGGTCTCTGCTCAGCGGAGAGCCTGCTTCTCCCTCTCCCTCTGCCTGCCTCTCTGCCTACTTGTACTTTCTCTCTCTCTGTCAAAAAAAAAAAAAAAAAAAAGGGAATTTGAGTTCTCAACAATGAGCAGAGGTTTGAAGGATAGAGATAGGGATATAAAAAGAGATGGGTGAGGTAAAGAAAAATAAATCTGGGAAATGAATAGGTAAGTGATCTCATTTAGTCAATGCATAGATCACTTGTGTAGGGAATACAAGTTGCTGAGATGGAAAGATAAGTTTGAGATAAATTGTGGAGATTTTGAATGCTATGGAGTAAAATTAGAGAGCCGTGGAAAATTTGAGGTGGGAAAGTCCTTTAGGAAAGAATTCTTGGGGGTATACTTCAGGAAGAATTTGGAAGTGAGGAGGACCACTTGGAAGATTATTGTAGTGCTCCAGATAAATATTGAGGATTGTTGCAGAAATCTCACCTCAGATCTTCTTTGGGAAGCTTTCTTAACTTCTTCCCCACTCCCATTAAGATTTGCCTTTCTCCTCTTCTCTAGTGACCATTGTTTTACTTTATTATTAGCTCTTAAAGGCAGGAGGTATGTCTTATTTTACTTTATATCTCTAATGTAAGTCATAGTACCAGTAAATGGTTGAATTACGGGAAGAGCTGGACCACAGTTGTGTCTTTAGAAAGGAAGAGAAGAGTCCCCATAGAAGAGCTGTATTAGAGGCGGGATGAACAGAATTTGACTTATGTCATTATGAGGGGATACAGGGGTCCAGGATGATCCTGTTATAAGGCTGTTGCTGGCTAACACTTATTGAGTAGTTATTATGTGCTAGACACTTTTCTAAGTGCTTTCCCTGTTTCTGTCCTTCACAATAATCCTATAGGCAGGGTGCTATTCAGCTTTACAGATGAAGGAAATAGGGCCAAGTTTACAAAACTGGTAAGTGCTAAAACCAGGAAGTCTGATTCCAGAATCTGTGCTCTTAAAAACGTTTTACTGCTTCCATATTATGAGTGAGTGAGAGATACAATCCACTGTCAGAAATAAAGTCAATAGGAGAAGCTTTTAGAAGGAGTTTTAAATATGTTGAGTTTGAGGAGCTTGCAGATATTCGGGTGAAGATGCTCAGGAGGTAGTTTGAAAGCAGATTAGAACCTAGGAGAGGGACTAAGGTTGAAAATAAAGAATTAGAAGTCATCTCAGTAAAATAAAGGTGTTGATGTGCTTCCTGTGGGAGAGATTGTTAAACTTGTGGACATATAAGTTGATCTTCAGAGGACACTACATCTCTACTGTCTGCTTTTTCTATCCTGAGATAAATTTGTCGTGTGTCTACTTCTTCTTCTTCTTCTTCTTTTTTTTTTTTTTTTTTAAAGATTTTTATTTATTTGAGAGAGAGACAGTGAGAGAGAGCATGAGAGGGGAGAAGGTCAGAGGGAGAAGCAGACTCCCCGCAGAGCTGGGAGCCAGATGCAGGACTTGATCCCAGGACTCCGGGATCATGACCTGAGCTGAAGGCAGTAGCTTAACTAATTGAGCCATCCAGGTGCCCCTTGTGTCTGCTTCTTACTGTCCTAAGCTTCCCTTAATTCTGTGGATTCATTTCTTTTGGGTCTTTTCTTATGGATGAAGAACTGTGCTCTAGACTTCAAAAGATCTGAAAGCATCATTAATTTGTTGTCCTTTAGTTAAAAAAACGTAAAAACCAAACCCAAGACAAATAATATAGTCAGTTCTAGGTTACGAAGAGGGAGGGGTTCAGCTTCTGAAGTAGTGTTACATTTACTGTTTACTTGGACCACTGGTTTTAGAAGTTGGTTATTTTAAAAATCTTAGTACTATTTTCATCTTTCTAACTCTTAAGCTTAAAGAGTTCCGTTTTAAACGCTGTGTAATTATAGCTGCTAATCAGTGGAAAACGTCTGGTTTGTAGTAAATGTGACCAGTGCCATCTTAGGTTAATTGAAATCAGCTGTGCATCTTCATAAGCTATCCTGTTTTTATTGTTATTTATTTTTTTAAAGATTTTATTTATTTGACAGGCAGAGGTCATAAGTAGGCAGAGAGGCAGGCAGAGAGAGAGGGGGAAGCAGGCTCCCCGCCAAGCAGAGAGACCGATGTGTGGCTCGATCCCAGCACCCTGAAATCATGACCTGAGCTGAAGACAGAGGCTTTAACCCACTGAGCCACCCAGGCGCCCCCTGTTATTTTTAAATCCTAGAAATGATGACTTGGATATGGTGACCTAGAAGATTAAAGAAAGACCAGCACTGTTTTAGCTGCTCTTGCAGGCTTATTCTTCTGGGTGAACTTTAGAATTATTTTTGGCAATCCCTACGCCCCCTTGGAAAGATTTTCCTTTTGGGGTATCGAGCTGTTGAATGAAATTGCATTAAATATATAAATAAATTTGGGTATAATTGACATTGTTTTAATAATGGGTTTTCCCATCCAGTAGTATGATGGGTCTTTTCAAAAGGTGACTTGAATAACCGAATCCTTCTGTAAAGTTTGTGTTTTCTTCACCCGGGTTGTGTACATTTTTTTTTTTTTTTGGTTGGTTTCTAGATATTTTATACTTCTTGTGATTATACAGTTAGGGTATCATTTTTGTTACTTAGCAGGTTTATACTAGTATATTGGCAAGCAGTTGATTTTTTTTTTTTTTCTTCTCAATCTGTTCAGCGCCTTGACTGAATTTTTTTTCTTTTTAAGAGTAGTTATTCTCTTGGATTTTCTAATTTCTAAGTGTGTGCAAATAGGCACATTTCAAACTGTTTCAGAGTGTGTTTCAGAGAATTAAATTTAAATATTAAACAATTTCTTCTTGGGTTAGATGTGAGGAGGAAGTAAATGAGGAAGCATACAATAAAGTTGGATATAGAAAAAGATAGATAGAATAGTGATGGAAGGTATGTCAGTGCTTGGTTGTCTTGAGTTTATTTTGCTTAGGGCCCAGCACAGTGGAGTTCAGAGGAACAAATTGATTCAGAGTGAAAATCTGACCAGCTTTTCTTAGCCTTAAGTCTAGAGAAGGTAAGTAAAGCAATAATGTGTAGACTTACATGAGTTTGCTGTATTTGGTCTTTTATATATCTTACAAATCTTCAATTTTCTTTTAAAAATTAATATAATGTTTTGTGCATTTTATTTGAAATCTAGAACTTGGAGCTAGTGTCAGATATTTGTGGTGTTAAGATTCTTGGTTTCACTTTTAATATTTGACTATACATAAAAATAAGTAAAATCTCACTACCCAATACTTTGCAAAATAAAAACAACTCAATGACAGTTAAATTCTGGGACTCCCAAGTAAAAATTTGAGACAGATGCCACATGTTATCTAGTTAATAGTCTTGCAGCTTGGCTTCTTCGTCTGCATAGTGAGAAAACAAAATATTGCGTGCCATATGTAATTTGATCTGTAGATCAATTAAGAAAAATAAGATGAGATTTTAACAGTTGACATTGTTGGAAAGTACCATTATTTGAAGACTGAACTTTTTCTGTGCAACGGTCAGCAGTAATGGCATGCTGAATTAGAAGCAGTCTTCTTAAAACAACTTGTAAATGGTAACCAGCAGTGGATTTGATAAAAGCCTTTTCTTTCTCTTGAACTATTTCTGCAGTAGCATTTGTACCTTTTACATTAAGGGTTTATGTGTGGATTTTCTTGTTACTAGAATCGGTTTCTTATATGACTGGGTAGTTGGAAGAAGGAGGGGAAGTTTCTTTGCTGCATAACAAGAGTTGCTGCTCTGTCAGTGTTGTGGCAGTAAACAGTGTATCTTAGGACTTGGAAAGAGCTTTTGCACGAAAATCTGTCATAAAAATAGTGGTTAAGTTTCCAGATTACAGTTTAAAAAGTTGATTCCTCAAATACCTCCCACTCTCATTTGTATCATATTTTGGCACATAGGCATTCTGAATTTTAAAGAATTGACTTGCACATTTATTTTAGATCTCAATCTTTTCTAAGTTCTAGATTTCCTTTGTCCGGTTTTATTAGCTGAGGCGAAATTGCTTCAAGTTTGGGAAGATTAAGTTGTATAACTTGAGACATACTTGTTTTGTTAGCACAATATATTTTCAGATCATTTAAATATTGACTTTTTAATAATTGCAGACCAGATCATCAGATGTTCATTCATCTGGATCTTCAGATGCACATGTGAGTATGAAAGGCAGTCTGTGTCTTTCTTCTTTTTTTGAAAGTAATCTGAAGTACCATTGTGGGGCTCCAACTCATGTCTCCCAGATCAAGAGGTGTATGTTACATGGACCGAGCCAGCCAGATACCTTTTGTTTTTTCTCTAGTATTTAATTTCTCTCTGTATCTCTACATTTATGATTTTACTTGCTAAATAAATACTATTATATTGTGTCTGTTTTCTACCATGTTTTTAGCTAGGTGCCCTCTTTTTTTGTGTGTGTTCTATTTGTATAAGTTTGCCCCCTCAGACCATATTAGTAACCAAGTATGTATCTTTGTTTTTTTATTGTGCTAATAAAGTTCTGTACATATACAAGTGTGTATACTTGTACATTGGTTATGGTTTGTGTTATATGCACTCATTCTTTTTTCACTGCATGATATACCTGTTGGAAATCCCTCAACAGTTAAGGCTCTAATATAGTCTTTCTGCTGGCATTGTAATATTCCATAGGGAGAAGTACACATGATTTTTTAAGTTGTATCTCTTTTGATGGGCATATACTTGCTTAAAGCTTTTTGACATTTGAACAGTTCTTCAGTAAACATTCCTTTGCATGTTATTAAAGCAGTGCTGAAAGTATGGCTTTCAGACTCTTGGGGGTTACTGAGAATTTTTCCTGGGTTTTGTGAGTTCAGCTATTTTATAATAATAAAAAGACATTTGCCTGTTTGATCAGGTTGACATTTGCATTCGTGGGAAAAGGCAATCTGTGGGTAAACTGTTGGCATCTAACATGAATCAAGCCAGTGTTGTCAAAATGCATTAGTAGTCATTGTGTTCTTCCCCACCTGGCACAGTAAAAGTAAAAATATGCTAGTTTCACTTAAAAATGTTCTTGATGAAGCAGTAACAGGTATTAATGCTTAATTTTATCCTTGTGTGTGGGTCTTTTTTATGTTTTGTGTGATGAAATGAGAAGTATGTATAAGGCACTACTTCTCAAAGTATGTTTGTCTTGAGGAAAGGTGCTTGGTGGATTATTTAAGTTGAGAAATGAAAACTGGCCCCTTTGTTGCTGGCATACCATTTTTACTTAAAGAAACAATTGACAGACTGGTAAATCAGACTTGGATATTTGGCAGATGTTCTTTTAAAAATGAAGGAAACAGACCTGTTACTTCAAAGAAAACAATTATTTGTTACTGATATAAAATTCGAGCTTTCAGGTACAAGTTAGAATTATTAAAAACTTTACCTGTACTGAATAACTTTTCTGATGAAATCGTTGGTGATATTAAGGGATGAGAGTTTTGATAATGTATAGTGAAATTTGTCACTATTTGGACATTTGGGTTATTTGTGATTTTAGTACTACATAAGTGATTTTAGAAACTTGTTCCACTTTTCCTGAAGATGGATGCATCTGGACCCTCAGATAGTGACATGCCAAGTCGGACACGACCTAAGAGCCCAAGAAAACATAATTATAGAAATGAGAGTACCCGTGAAAGCCTTTGTGATTCTCCTCATCAGAATCTCTCAAGAGTGAGTGTTGATAAAGATAAGAAAGGATTAATGATTTTAATCTGTCCTTGATAGAATTTGGTGATTGGTATTTTGGTTTTGTACTGTTTGTTCCATCATGTACTATTTGAAAATAGCATTCTTTTTTGTATTTGGGTTAATGATGGACTCAAGTTCATGTAAGGAAATTTTTTTTTTTTTTAAGATTTTATCTATTTATTTGAGAGAGAGAGATTACAAGCAGTCAGAGAGGCAGGCAGAAAGAGAGGGAAACTGGCTCCCTGCTGAGCAGAGAGCCCGATATGGGGCTTGATCCCAGGACCCTGAGATCATGACCTGAGCCGAAGGCAGAGGCAACCCACTGAGCCACCCAGGTGTGCCCCCCCCCCCCCCCCCCTTTTTTTGTTTATATATGAGATAGGATTCTTGCAAAATTTAAAATTTTATTTAAAAACCAAGGAGTGGGACGCCTGGGTGGCTCAGTCGGTTAGGCCGCTGCCTTCGGCTCAGGCCATGATCCCAGGGTTCTGGGATGGAGTCCCGCGTCGGTCTCCTTGCTCCTTGGGGAGCCTGCTTCTTCTCTTGGCCTCTGCCTGCCCCTGTGCCTGCTGTGTTTATATGCGCGCTTTCTCTCTCTCTCTCTGTGTCTGACAAATAAATAAATAAATAAAATCTTGAAAAAAAAAAAGTAAAAATATTAAAAAACAACAACAAACCAGAAGTGTTTTGGATATGAAATGGTTAATGGTCAGATTTATTGTTCCTCCCTTATACCAAATACTGAACCAAGTACCACATGTCAGTCACTAGAAATAAATAGATGGGTAAAACGCAGTTCTTGCTCTTAGAGAGCTTATAGTCTCACTGTGGGATTTAAAGAGGGATAGGTACTATTCAGTATGGTTAGTATGGTGCCCAGGGCAGTATGAGAACCCAGAGAAAGAGCTTCTTTGCTATGTGTACCTGCAAAGGGTTCTCATGCTCTTTTAGTCTTTTTTCTTTTTCATATACTTTTTCTTGTGATTAAATTTGGGGAATTAATAAATTAATAAAAATTAAATTTGGAAATATAAAGAAGGCAGTTATCACCAGCCAGTATTAACATTGATAGCACTTTATTTTTATGGTATAATATTCTAAGCATAAATATATTTTTACTTTGCTAAGATCCATTTTACAAGAATACATTTTATTTATTTATTTATTTTTAAAGGATTTTATTTATTTATTTGACAGAGATCACAAGTAGGCAGAGAGGCAGAGGGAGAATCAGGCTCCCTGTTGAGCAGAGAGGCCAATGCGGGGCTTGATCCCAGGATCCCGAGACCATGACCCGAGCCGGAGGCAGAGGCCCAACCCACTGAGTCACACAGGCACCCCAGGAATACATTTTAAAATACTCTTTTCAAAAAAACAAACAAACAAAAAAACTCTTTTCAGTATTTTTTTTAATTTTAGCAAAAATTCTTTGAAACTTTTTAATGGATGATTGTATTTCTCTATGTAAACATTCCATAATTTCCTTAACCATTTTTCTCTTTGGTGTGTAAGGTTACCTCTTAGAATATAGATAAATAAAATTTGAGCCCTTCTGATTTTGTTTTGTAATACTATGTTTTTCATTGAATTTATATGTAATATTACCATTTGCTTAAAGATGCTGAATGATGACCAAACATTTTTCTTTCTACTTTGGGGGAAAAATTTACTTTGAATCTATTCGTGAAACCTCATTTTGGGTTATAAACTTTTATTTTTTCAAAGTAATTTTCTTTAAAATAATTTGTAGCAGTGTTAGTCTTTCTGTTCTGCTTCTCTCTGGGGCAGGCCTATTTAAAAACCAGGAGATTGGGGCACCTGGGTGGCTCAGTGGGTTAAAGCCTCTGCCTTTGGCTCAGGTCATGATCCCAGGGTCCTGGGATTGAGCCCCACATCGGGCTCTCTGCTCGGCAGAGAGCCTGCTTCCTCCTCTCTCTCTCTGCCTGCCTCTCTGCCTACTTGTGATATCTCTGTCAAATAAACAAATAAAATCTTAAAAAACAAAACAAAACAGGGGATTGATAAAGCCTGATTTTTAATTGGTTAACTTCTTTTTTTGGTAGGCAAGAGCAAAACCTTCGGATTTCAACTACAGATTAATATTTTAGGGTGTATTTAATAGACATTACTCTCTTTTAAGTTTATGAATCAAAATCTAACATTTAAATGAATAACTGAACAACTAAAGATCAATGGATGATTTTACTTCTGCTGAAACCTGAAATATTACTATTATGTTCATAAACATCACTATTGTTGATGAAGAATGAGTTAATTTACTGAATTATAGAAGGAAGTGATGTGATTTGTGGTACCTGAAATGGAGGTTATAGATGGCATTTAGATTACTGCTACTGAACTTGGAAATAAATGCTGCCTTCTCCCTATTTGAATGTGTTTTCCACCACTGCTTCTTTTGCCCAGAACCATCTGTACTTTTTCTCAAGTGCTTTTATTCTTGCTGCCGGCAAGTTGGTTGAATGAGTTCTAAACCTTGGCATCTCTCTCTCTGCTTTTTAACCTTTTTTATAAAGATAATGGTTTTTGTATGTTATCGGCCTTGAGCTAGCAAATGAAGACATTCTTTAAGGAGTATTTAGAATCAAGCCCAAGGTAGGCACTTGATGCTTAAGAGTAGTCTCAGTTTTTCTGCTTTACAGTGAAATTTCTTTTATAAAGTCATCTAATCTAAAGACTTGGTTATCATTTGAGCTGTACCAGTTAACAGATAGTATTAAGTATAATAGATATTAAGTATTAATAGATAGTATTAAGAATGTGTTTGTAAAGGTATGCTTTTTATTTCTTTTCATAGCCTCTTCTAGAAAACAAACTCAAAGCCTTCAGTATTGGAAAAATGAGTACGGCTAAGCGAACTTTAAGTAAGAAGGAGCAAGAAGAATTAAAGAAAAAGGTAATGTTTAAATTGTATTTTCAGTTATCCTTGGAAATGTGTTCTCTGTTGCACGGACAGTAGAGAAATGGCTTTTTGTTCTTTTTTTTTTTTTTTTAAGATTTTATTTATTTATTTGAAAGAGAGAGAGATCACAAGTAGGCAGAGAGGCAGGCAGAGAGAGGGGGTAAGCAGGCTCCCCTCTGAGCAGTGAGCCCGATGTGGGGCTCGATCCCAGGATCCTGAGATCATGACCTGAGCCGAAGGCAGAGGCTTAACCCACTGAGCCACCCAGGTGCCCATTTTCAAAGGTTCTTGACCAGGGTATTCTCAGCTCCCAACACTAAGTCAAATCTGTAACACAAGGTACATTTCGAGGAGTTCAGTTTGTATCCCTGTCTCCTCCACTGTCTTTTCTGTGTAAGATTTGGCTCTTTTCTGGTCTGTTCTTTTTGTATAAGCAAATGTGTGTAAATAGATATTGTACTCCTCTTTCTTAGGTGATCAATAATATGCTATATCCACTGTACTTTTCTCCATCTTGCTTTTTACACTTAACATTGTATCTCAGAGATTACTGCAGGTATAATGAAATATTCCTTGTGTTTTTAAATAGCTGTGTAGACAATAGTAATTTTTCACTAAAATTCTATTAAGGGCATTTTTGTTTTGGTCTTTTGCCATTACAGATAGTGTTATTAATGGATAGTGTTATGCACATGGTTTTTGTTTTTTTTTTTTTTTTTTTTTTTTTTTTTTTTTTGCTAATTTGTCTTTGGGATATATTCCTGTCAGTGAGATTATGGGGTTGAATGGTAAATGTATAAATGTAGCTCTCTTAGATATTGTCAAATTGCTCTCTATAAGGGCAGGGACATTTTGCATCTCTCTCAGTAATGTATGAGAGGTTGTTTCCCTATAGCCTTGCCACAGAGGATGTTTTTGAAGTTTTGGCAGTCTGCTCAGTGAAAAATGGTATCCCAGTGCAGTTTTAAATTTGCCTTTCTTTTGTAAGTAAGGTTGAACAGCTTTTGTGTTTGTTTCTGTGAGCTGTCTGCTTTTATGTAAACCATTCTTTCTAGAATTTAGTAGTACTGTTTTTTAAAGAAACTTTGTATATTAAGTATATTAATACTTTGTCTATGTATGACACAAGGTGCAGTGTTTTTTCCCAGTCTGTCAGTTGTCTTTTTATTTGCTTATGGTGTTTTTTCCATGCAGAAACTGTTTATTGTTATGTAATCATATTTATCAGTCTTCCCTTATGATTTCTAGTTTTCAGTGTTTTTCTTACTCCTAGCTTATAAAGGAATTTCCTCATGTTTTTTCTAATATTTCAGTAGTTTCTCTTTCTTTTTTTTTTTTTTAAGATTTTTATTTATTTATTTGACAGAGAGAGATCACAAGTAGGCAGAGAGGCAGGCAGAGAGAGAGGAAGGGAAGCAGGCTCCCTGCCAAGCAGAGAGCCCGATGTGGGGCTCGATCCCAGGACCCTGGGATCATGACCTGAGCCGAAGGCAGGAGCTTAACCCACTGAGCCTCCCAGGCGCCCCTGTAGTTTCTTTTTTTTAAGAATTTTATTTATTTATTCGTCAGAGAGAGAGTGTGCGAGAAAGAGAGCACAGGCAGGGAGAATGGCAGGCAGAGGGAGAAGCAGGCTCCTAGCTGAGCAAGGAGCCTGATGTGGGACTCGATCCCAGGACTCTGGTCATCACCCCAGCCAAAGGCAGATAGATGCTTAACCAATTGAGCCACCCAGGCGTCCCTTAAAGAGTTTCAGGTTAAAAAATTAAATTTGATTCATTTGCAGTTTCTCTTGGTGTGTGATGTGAAGAATTGGTTCATTTTTATCTTTTTTTCAAATAGTCATCCTAACATCATTCATTGAAAAGTTGTTCTATTCTCCATTGATTTGAGATGCTTCTGTTATTGAATACTGAATTTCCAAGTGTTATTGGATTTATGTCTTTATTTTCTGTCTGTTCCATTGGCCTTTTATGCATACATATTTTGGGGACATTGTGAAGAGTTATAATTGAAATTGTTAAGGTTCTTTTGAGCTTTTTTCCTAATGCCAACTGTGGAGTTAATTGCTGCTCAACTTCTGATATTCATGTCTTTGGTTTGTGAAGGAAATCTTTATTATCACTGAATTAAATCATCATGCTTTGGAAACGTCAAAAACCTTAAAAGAGTAATGTGTTTTACATAGTTGTCCTGTAGTTTGACTCTTGATGTCTCTAAACAGATTTACTTAGTGGTTCCTTTTCTAGTTCCACAAATTGCCAATAGAGGATCAAAGTCTCTCTTAGTTTCAAGGTTAATTAGTATCTAACATCTGCTAAAGATTAGATATTACCTATTAGGACTGCCTAACCTGCTTTTCCCAGTGAAGGGAAAGATTTTGTTTACTTATTCCTTAATGAGTTTTGCCCTGTTTACAATAATATTTTTCATACGAAGTGGTATTAATATTTTCATGTGTTTTTAGGAAGATGAAAAGGCAGCTGCTGAGATTTATGAGGAATTTCTTGCCGCTTTTGAAGGAAGTGATGGTAATAAAGTGAAGACATTTGTGCGTGGAGGTGTTGTTAATGCAGCTAAAGGTTAGTGTGACTATCATAGTCCTTGAGCAAACCCAAAATGTCTTAGTAGAATGATTGTAGGTAATTATGAAAGATGTTTGTTGTCTTTTGAATTTCACATTTCCTTTCTGTCAGCACCCTCTAGTGTTGATACAAATTATTAATTAGTAGGATAAGTAGCCAGATATTTATTAATGAGAAATTCGAGCCAGATAAGTTTTAAAGATAGTACCTTTCATTGTTGAATACAGCAAAACACTTTGCAAAAATTTTAATATATTTCATAGTTTTATTACTGTTTTTGAGAGTTAAGGTGGTAATATGAATTTAACTTTATATTTTGTCAGTAGTGATATATCTTAGTGCTTAAAGCATTTTACTAATTTCTGTTTATTTTTAAATAAAAACGATAAATAATAGGAAATTATTTTTGAAAATTAGTCTTGAAACTTAACTATTTTAAATTTCAGAAGAACATGAAACAGATGAAAAAAGAGGTAAAATTTATAAGCCCTCTTCAAGATTTGCAGATCAAAAAAATCCTCCAAATCAGTCATCCAATGAAAGACCACCATCTCTTCTTGTGATAGAAACCAAAAAACCTGTAAGTCATACCCAGATAAGTGACTTTTTATGTTCAGAGATGATACTACCAATGATTTTTTAGTACTTCCACTGTAAGCAGGACTTTGGTTTCTTGTTTTAATTATTTTGGGAGTAGATATTGAGTTTTGGTGTTTAATCTTCCTAGAGAATTGATAATAAGTTAGAGTACAGCATGTAGACAGTATTCTTTTCATGTTCTTTGAGCAGTGAACCTCTGGTGTTTTAGTCATAATGAGTAAAAGGTTGATTATATTTTAGGTATATATATAATGGGATTGTCTTTTTAAGCAATTCTGAACTGAGGTATTTAAATAATATCAGCATGTGTAGTGGCAGTTATCTTGGAAGACTATATGTATTCCAATAATGTATCTTTTGCCTAGAACATTTTTGGAATTGTGTCAACTAGTGGTACTTTCTTTTAAATATTCTCAGTGTTAGAAAATGGTGGGGATTTTTCATGGGGGTTAGAAGGTAGATGTGAGTCATGTCATTTGGATCCATACTCGGTGAAGAAATATGATTACATTGAATGGGGAGACTGACTTTTCTTTTGTGACTTTTAAAATAGCTCTGAAAGCAGTGGAAAAAAGCAGTTTTATTGGGATGTAATTCACATACCATAAAATTTACTCTTTTAAAATACAGTTTTTTTTTAAGGTGTATTCACAGTTGTGCAACAATCACTAATCTCTAATTTCAGAATGTTTTTATTATCCCAGAAAGAAATGTTACAACTATTTTTAGTCATCCCCTACTTCTGACAACCACTAATCTACTTTTTGTCTGTTTGGATTTGCATATTTGGGACATTTCGTGCAGATGGAATCATATAACATGTGGCCTTCTGTTTCTGACTTCTTAGCATAATATTTCAAGGTTCATGTGTATTCTAGCATATAGTAGTATTTCATTCTTTTTTATAGACAAATAATACTCTGTTTTATGGGTATAGCATATACTGTTTATCCATTTATCACTTGACATTTGGGTTGTCTCCACTTTTTAGCCATTATGAGTAATGTTGCTATAAACATTTGTGCGTAGGCCTTTTTTGTGGACGTATGTTTTCAGTTCTCTTACATATACCTAGAAGTGGAATTGCTGGGTCAAATGGTCGACTATTTGTTGAACCTTTTGAGAAACTGCCAAAACTCATTTCCAGATTAGCTGTACCATTTTACAGTCCCATCAGCATCGTTATGAGGGTTCTAATTTTTACATGTCTTTACCAATACTTGTTAAAATTGTCTGTTTTTAAAATTTTAGTCATCTTAGTGGGTATGAATTTGTACCTAATTGTGGTCTTGATTTGCAGTTCCCTAATGATGTCAGACATCTTTTTATGTGTTTATCATCCATTTGTAGTCTTCTGTGGAGAAATGTCTTTCAGATCCTTGGCCCATTTTTTAGTTGGGCTATTTGTTGTCTTTTCTGTTGCATTTTACACTTCCTAGAGTCAAGTCTCTTATCAGCTATATGATTTGCACATGTTTTCTCCCATTCTGTGAGTTGTCTTTGTCCTTTACTGATAGTATCCTTTGAAACACAAAAGTTTTTAATTGTGATGCAGTTGAGTTTATCAGTTTTTTTCTTATGTCAGGTGTGCTTTTGATGTCATATCTAAGAAACCATTGCCTCTTTCAAAGTCATGAAGAGTTATTCCTATGTTTTTCTCTTAGAGTTTTATAGTTTCTGTGCTTAAATTTAGGTGTGTGAATCGTTTGAGTTAATTTTTGTGTGTGGTGTGGAGAAGAGTACCAACTTCAGTTTTTCTTGCACGTGGATATTCGATTGTTCTCACACTGTTTCTGGGGAAAAAAAAAAAGGCTGTTTTCCCCATTGAATTATTTTGGCACTTCTAAGAAAGGGATCTCAAAAGCAGTTTTAAAAGAGGCGTTCCAAGATGTTACTGATTATTTTAATAATTCATAGTCCTCCTAAGGTGACTGTATTGAAGAAGTGCATATTTTTGATGGTTGCTCATGGCAGTCACTTGGCAGTTCAGTTACTTTATGTTCTTTAGTTTTGCTCCCTCTAACAATATTGAGGCCTAAGTATCACAGGGGTTTGGGAGATAAAGTTTGTGGCTCCTTTACTTTAAGACTACTGGTTGTCATTTTCTTTAATTGCCTTAATAATCGAATTGTTAAATTCTTAATTGAAAAGAAGTACAGTGAGAACAGAGACATTCTTTTTAATTTAAATAATTAGAACATAATTGGTACTCAAAAATTATTTAAAATGATCTGATTATTGAACCATTAGTTTTGTTTGACCATGTTTTGTTTGGAGTATAACTTGTCATATCCTTCATAGCCACTGAAGAAAGGGGAGAAGGAAAAGAAAAAAAGCAATTTGGAACTCTTCAAAGAAGAATTGAAACAGTAAGTTTTATAGTGCGGAGAATGGCTGTCATAGGTATATTGAGCTGATACTTAAGAGATGCAGGTGTGAAGAATGTAGAGTACCAGTTAGTTATCACTAAAGGCCTTAACCTATGATGAGGTTGTTTTAGAAATTGTAGTGATTTCTTTTTTTAGGGTATGTTTGAAAATGAATTAGCATTCCATCCAGCATCTAGGTTGGTAGCATAATATGGATGCAATTCAATTGATTTATCTAATGTCCGGAGTCCTGTTTGCGTTGGAAACAATGCGGTTACTGAGGAGTGAGCAGACTTAACCAAGAAAGAACAAATTCAGTTTGTTTTAATGTTTTATTGTTGAATTTTCTTCTCACCTTAGAAGTGAGCTTTGTATTCTAATGCTTGCATGACATACCAGAAATTTGCTTATGATTGTTATAGCTGAGGGACTCTTTCATCTTGGTTATTGGTACTGGCATTTAATTACTCAAAAGTATTTCAAGTTATATGAACATAGTACCTGGATAAGTTGTATTCTTAATAAATGTGAATAAATAACTTTTGCCTCATTATTAGTGATTATAAATGTTTTCAACAGAATTCAGGAAGAGCGTGATGAGAGACATAAAACAAAAGGCAGGTTAAGCCGATTTGAGCCACCTCAGTCAGATTCTGATGGTCAGCGTCGTTCTAGTAAGTGGCATTTATTTTAATGTTTATATTTGTGATTAACTATTCTAAAAACTAAGACTTGTTTGCTTTTCCCTCTTTTAAAGTGGATGCGCCTTCAAGAAGAAATAGATCATCTGGTGGTAATACAGTTTTTTGCTTTTTTAATTAATAGAAATTGTCCAAACCTTGTATTTTACAGGTTATAATTTTTTTATCCCTCTTTGTCCTAGTTCTTGATGATTATGCACCTGGCTCACATGATGTAGGAGATCCCAGCACTACTAATTTATATCTTGGAAACATTAATCCACAGGTAATATTAGAAAAGTTAGATGAATGTTGGCTCATATTCTTTATAATTATGGAGGAAAACTACTTTGTCAGTAAAAAATAAAGTCAAGAATCTGAAGTAAGCAAGTTTGGTGAAACCTAAAGGCTACTGAAGTCTCAAAAATTATCTTACAAAATTGAGCCTTAGTGGTATGGACTGGTATTGTTTTGCTGCAATTCTTAAGGGCCTGTCTCCCCTTTCTGTAACTAGACTATCTGAATTTGAAATGTCTTACTGTATACTGATTTTATTTATCAAATCAGGATGTGACCAGTGGTGGACAGTGTTCTTTTGAGACTACCCTCTTATGCATAGCTTGCTTCCTTAATGGACGTCCTTTTTCTAGTTTCTCTTCATCGTAGCAGACTAGTAATTTGTACTTCTGTCTTTTATATTTGAATTCTTTTCCTTACTTCAGTGTTACTTGTGTTATGGGGAAAATGGTGGTTGTTATACATAGTATGCTCTTTTTAAAAAATTACGGATTTCTCCCCCGCCCCCCAAAGATTTGAGAGAGAGTATGTGTGTGTGCACACACGTGCACACATGCAGTGGGGAGGGTCAGAGGCAGAGGGAGAAGCAGGCTCCCTGGTGAGCAAGAAGTCCGACATGGGGCTCCATCCCAGGACTCTGGGATCGTGACCTGAGGCCCAACTACTGAGCTACCCAGGCACCCATAATTGTATATGTTTTGGACCTCATTTGGTATTTACTGTTTTCTCTTTTCTCTCTTCTTAATTATGTTGGGTGCTGGGGGGAAAAAAGTGATTAGGTGCTTTTTTTTTTTTTTTTTTACTTTCATCAGCAACATATACTTTCTCTTTGCTTTAATTGGGATAATCAGAGCTGACTGAAATAAACTACTGGTGAAGAACAGCTTATTTTAGATGCAGGATCTCAGAAGGAGCAGGAGGGGATGTAGAGGTGTACTTTTTCTTTTGCCACCCAGCCTCTTCACCTTGAACACTTACTTGTGTTTCTAGTATGAAGATATTTGTGAATGTCCCCTGAGGGCAAGGTTTTTACCTATATAGGGTCCTAGTACTTGAATGGAAAATTGTAGGATTAATATATCTCACTCTTCATTTTGTAAAAATTTGCTTTCTGTTGCATAGATTTTCCCTTTTTTTTCTGCATATCCAAAAAACTCTTATGCCTTTTATTTTTATTTATGTATTCTTTTTTTTTTTTTTTAATGCCTTTAAATAGATGAATGAAGAAATGCTTTGTCAAGAATTTGGAAGATTTGGACCATTAGCCAGTGTGAAAATTATGTGGCCTAGAACTGATGAAGAAAGAGCAAGAGAGAGAAATTGTGGCTTTGTGGCTTTTATGAATAGAAGAGATGCTGAAAGAGCTTTAAAAAATTTAAATGGTAAGAAAGTTTCTGTTGTCTGCTATAGAATTCAGGCTTTTTTTCTGGTTCTGAAAAGTATAAAAACTCTAGGGAAAAAATGGACCAAAAATGGAAAGGTTAAACATGGGTGTTAATTCAAGTTAACAGAAGTCTTTTATTTTCTTTTGAGAATTATCAGGGTGACCTTTCTTTTCTTTTTTGCAGGAAAGATGATTATGTCATTTGAAATGAAGTTAGGTTGGGGTAAAGCTGTGCCTATTCCTCCACATCCAATATACATTCCGCCTTCTATGATGGAACATACGCTTCCCCCACCTCCATCAGGACTGCCTTTTAATGCGCAGCCTAGAGAGAGGTTAAAAAACCCCAATGCTCCAATGTTACCGCCACCTAAAAACAAGGAGGATTTTGAGAAGGTAATTTAAAAAATGTACATAGGGCCGCATCTAATTTGTAAATACTAAATCTGTGGTAGTATTTCTTTTCAATAATTTTATAGAAAATGTGTGCGTAATTCTGTTTGACAACTCTTAAAGAAATAAGTAGATGTGTTCCCTGCCTTAGCCCATGGAAACCCTGTATTGAAATACTAGGTCATACTTTTATTTGTGGCTACCATTCCTTTTTTGACCACTTAAGTTTTTTTTCTCTTTGTCCACTATTGTATCCAGGTTTGCTTAAGTGCAGTATCTAAATTTACTTTGTTCTGAGAAAGTGTTACTTTGTATTTGGTTAAGTGACTTTTCATTTAGAAAGACCTAAATAGTTAAACTGTTTGGATGGCTGCTAGCTAACTTAGTTCTCAAGATCTGAGGTATTAGAGTATTTGAGAGCATATGTGGTTTTTTAAAAAAGCAGTTAACTACTCTAGTAAAAGCAAAGGGTGAGTATTTTCTTTTTATTAAACACAAAACCAACTTAATTTCAAGTTTGTAAGAATTTGTTGGTTCTGTTATGAAATAATTACACTTAAAATGACAGGGCTGGTTTTAAAGGCTTGGGAACAAAGTAGCAAACTGTATGGTCAGAGGCAAACAGTTAATTATTTCACAAATTAAAATCTTTATCTGATAATTCTCAGTGTAGTACCTATTTCAGTGCATTGATGTGCATTCTGGCAGGAATGTTCTGATTCTTTGCATTTGGTGAACATTTATTGTTCACTGAACACATCCATTTGCATTTATGTAATTGCTTAGTGTATAATTACTTCAAATGCAGTGATTGCCTGCAAAACTTGTGATTAGATGTGTAGTGTTTTCAATGCATTATGTATATTTTTGCTTGTTACTTGTTAACAATACTCACATATTCTATGTTTATTATCTGATGTGACTTCATATACAGACTCTGTCGCAAGCCATAGTCAAAGTGGTTATCCCAACAGAAAGGTACATGTTTTTCTTTATTATTACTGATCTAAATATAGACAATATCCCCTTCTGAATTAAAAAAAAATGGTGTTGAGGAAAAGGTAATATCTTGACTGAGCAATGGTTCCTTCCCAGTACTTTTTGGGGGGGATATTTGACTAACTCTAGTATATTGCAATTTTATGTCATTATCTTTTTGTTTTTATTGTTACCAAAGTAGTGAATTTTATAGCGTTAGTAGTTAGAATGTATTTGATAGATTTAATCTGGAGTTGTTAGTCTAATAATATTAGACTATTGTGCTGGGAAAATAGGTGTGTTAAATGTATCTTAAATTGTATGTAATGTTGCAATTTGACCCAATCTTTTTTTTTTTTTTTTTGGTGTGTGTGTCTTGGTTCCTGAATGATCTGTGTTTAATGTGCAACCTTAGTTTGAGTTCTCCTTACTGAAGGGCATAGCTTTGTTTTTTTTCTAATTGATTAGGAATTCCTATTATCCTTATGAACATTGACCATGGCTAGAAATTTTTTTTCATGGTAACAAAAGGTATTTGGAATTCTTTTATTTTCCTTTTTTTTTCTTTTTCAACGTAATGATAAAGCAGAAGAATTCATGCTCTAGGTATGCTCTTGCTCAGTCAAGCTAAGCCTTTTCCCAAACACAGGAACACAACACTGGTTGAATAATAAATGAACACAAAAGAATACCAAATTCTCTTTGACATTGGCCTTGGTGAACAACACCAGCTGAACTGTCTGCGGCAGCGGGGGACCAGGAAAACATCATGGGATGGATTGGGAAAGTATACAGTTTTTGACCAGACATTGGTACGATCGACTCCAATAAATGTGGTTTATTATAACTGAGAGACGATTTTTTGGTTTTTTTTTTTTTTTTTTTTTTTTGTTATTGTTGCCCAGAGTAAGATAATTGCCATTTTAAAATAAAATAATGCACTTTAAAATATATCATCTTTTTGTACTACACTGTTTCATTCTGGTAGAAAAGTCACCCTTTTAGGAATGATGTTAAATACACAATCTTTAGGAAAAAATTGTGATTACAGTTCTTTTAATAATCTTGAATTCAGGTTAGCAACAACTAATTGTCAGATTTTGATTTTAAATAATCACATGAAAAACTTTAAATTTTCTAAAAATACATTTTATCAGTTTACAAGCCTGTTTAAAACTATAGTGGGTTATTTTTCCACTGATAAAGCCTTCACAGGAAAGTATTTTTTTAGTATTCAAAAAGCATATTCCATAGTAGCTTTACATGTGGCTCAGCTTATTTCTAAACTAAATTTTGAGTATACATTTTGTTGAAAAGTCTTAACTCACCATTACAGTGAATCCTTTGTTTTAAACTTGCTAAACCATTTTTAATTTATAATATTCAAGTCAAGTTGCATTTGACTTAATTCATACAAGTTTCTGGATGATAGTATTTGTTCTCCAGTAATTCATTTTATATATTATGATATTTATATAAAATTTCCCTTCACTTTAATTTGACACATACCAGTGGGAGTTTTGGAACTGAATCATAACTTACCTTTATCTCCCTTCCCTCAGAATAGTATCATTAACTATATGGATGCTCAGAATACATTGTCATTTGGTAACAAGAACTGCATATTTGCAGAATAATTAGTACTTCTGTTAAAGAAAAGTAATTTTTAGGTATAAAATTAAGTGTTGCTTTTGGTTTTTTGTTTTAACAATTTGAGGTTGAATTAATAGTTTTAAATATATAGTTTCCCCTATATTAAAGATTTAAACTTTCATATAATTTTTTTGACCTAAAGAAGGTCAAAAAAATTAATTTTTTTCACTATATAGAGATTTTAGTGTCCATTTAAGTAGGTTTGTTTGAAATGGGAGAAAATAACTACAATGACCATGAAATAAATTATTTTATTGTTTATGTACTCTGAAGCAGGGCATTATAGAGCCAAAACAATGTCTTATTCTATAACTATATTTATTTATATTCTAGCAATTACATGAACTTAATTTGAGCTGGGAATGCTAAAGGTGTAATTTAGTGTGTGCTTTGTACCAAGAGCCAATATCCTTTTGCTTTTCCCAATTGCTATTTGCCTAGTCTATATGCTGGGGGACTGGTGAAGTGAGAAATCAAAAGCAGCTTATAATAAGCTGAGTCATTTTTGCTTGATGTTGTAATCAGTATCTAAAATAGTGTTTAAATCACATGATTTTAGGACCTAGATTTTAAAAATAAAGATTTTCTATGAGCCCAACCAATAAAATGACTGTACTAAAAAGTTACAGGTTTCTTCTTGGCTTAAATATTGGAAAGTAATTGTTATGAAAAATGGGAGAGGCATCTCACCATGTCCCTTATTTTGGAATATTTTGTAAAGAGGACTCCATTTAAGGCTTTGGCAATATAATTGCTTCATTGAGTCATAGTACGCAGGCAGAATTATACATGTGATGAGTTGTGTGAACCAGTTTGAAGTGTGATCCAAAGGGATGTTGCCTCATTAAAGGTCAGATTCAATAAAAACTCCATCTGCTGTATGTGTACCAGAAAAGCACAAGAGTTGGATGGATTTTTTATTAAATCAGGCCTTAAACTTGTTAAATAGTTTTGCATTTTTCTAAATTATAGTAATGTATATAACATTTCAATACCACCACAAAAGTGCTTGGTTTAGGAATATTTTCTTTTAAAACTGAGATAGTGTGTATGTTTTTAGATGGCTTTGATAACATGTAAGCTCTAAGTTTACTCATTTTATATATTTGCAGCTTTCCAATTAGTTGTGATTCATAATTTAATGTTTTGCATTTGGAAAATAATATTAAGTGGCATTTAGAAAAAAATCTTTATTGCTATGAAGCTGTGTTGTGGTTTCCCTCCCTCCCTTCATCTTCCCTTCCCCTTCCACTACCTTATCCCCATTGACCCACTCCCTCTTAATGCACAAGGCATTAACATATGCTCCAGGTATAAAATTTTGTATTAGTCAGCAGAATAATCTTTTTCTGCACAATTATAGTAACTTAGGTCAAGTATAGTTTTATATAGTGGTAGGTCTGAATCCATTTTCTTTAACTGTGTTGTTGTTGTAGGAATTTGCTCGCCCTGATACACCGAATGATAGAGTTTGTTGTACGTGAAGGGCCAATGTTTGAAGCTATGATTATGAACAGAGAAATCAACAATCCTATGTTCAGGTGTGCATTTTTTTATTGTGGTAAAATATACATATAATAGAAAATGTACTGTTTTTGCCATTTTAACAGGTATAGTTGAGTGGCATCAAGTGCATTCACATTTTTGTGAAAATCACCACCATTGTCTATCTCCAGAAATTTTCTCATCTCCCTTAACTGAAATTGTACCCCTTGAACAATAACTCACCATTCCCTGGGTCCTCCAGCCTCTGGTAGCCCCCATTCTACTTTCTGTCTCTTGTAATTTGTTTACTCTAGTTACTCATATAAGTGAAATCATTTAGTACTTTGAGACTTGCTTATTTTAATTAACATAGTATCTTCAGTGTTCGTCCATGTTGAAGAGTGTGTCAGAATTTCCTTACCTTTTAAAGCTGAATAATATTCCATTACATGTATTTACCACAATTTTTTTATCCTCAGGTTTGCATTTAAGAAATACTTTTACTTATTTTTTGGAGCTGAAAATATTTCGGAGAATAAAGTTCTAAAAGTATGGAGTTGTTTTTGCAATGGAATGAGAAGGAAGTTTTAGTATTTAGATTAGATGTACTTGGGTCAGTTTTCTGTCCGATTTTGATTTAGGCTACTTAAATAACATTGTTTTTAGCAGTCTCTAGGAGGAAGACACTACTCTTCATGTTTTTCACTGACTCATTCATAGTAGAACAATAGAGCTTTGTAGAAAATTGGTTATCTTCTGAACAGATACGGTGTCTAAGACATTCATTTAGCACTACTAAGTCATTTAAAAACCACTGCTTTTGAAATGTCTATCTTGGGAAAATCTATTGCCAGGTATAATATCTGACTTATAAGCATTCAATAAAATTAATTGCAAGACTCAATAAGATGCATACATACCTTCTGAGTGTTAATGTCAGTCACAAAGGCAGTGTAGGGGCTAGGGTGAGGTAGAGGATTGATGGCAGAAGGCAGTGGATGCGGATTTTTCTTCAGTGATCTTTGCTTTTGGTTTTATTTCAAATGAGGTAGGCAAATAGTATTTCTTATTTGTTTATGTTTAATTGAAGACACTTCTTTGTTAAAGAATATATTTATTTTTTTGTGTGTTTTGTTTTAGGTTCTTATTTGAAAACCAGACACCAGCCCATGTTTACTATAGGTGGAAGCTTTATTCTATTCTGCAGGCAAGTGGAATCAATTATTTTGTTAATTTTGACTCTGAGGTATTTTGCCTAATAACATTCTGGACATTTATTAGGGAGATTCTCCAACTAAGTGGCGGACAGAAGATTTTCGTATGTTCAAAAATGGATCTTTTTGGAGGCCACCACCATTAAATCCATACCTGCATGGGATGTCAGAAGAGCAAGAAACAGAAGCTTTTGTAGAGGAGCCAAGTAAAAAGGGAGCACTTAAGGAAGAGTAAGAATTTTTTTCTTTTCCTGTTACATATTAAGAAAAGTTGCTTTAATAATTGTGTTAATTAGTGATCTTATTACTAAGATGTTAACCCTAAAATAAAATGTTTTTTCTTGTGACTGTTTTTAAAATACATGTGTTTAGTTATTTTAAACATCTTGGCAAGTGTAAGTATGCGTCCTGTTGACCTCTGTCTCTTCCTGCAGATAAAAGACAGTGATAATCTCTTAAGTAATGATTCTCTAGCAGTGGAATACTTGTGACTCTTACAGAAATTATCTTGGGATCTTTAGAATTCTGGTCTCCCTGAATGCAACATTAAAGAGGAAAAAATTACCGTAGAGCTTTGTGAAGTCAGATGGTTGATTATGCAGTCTTTCCCCAAGAGTTGGCCACCATGTGAACATACTTACTAGTGTTCAGTCAGTATGGGTACAGTGAAGTTAGTCTGGTTTAAGAAGCAGAAACAGATATAACTATTAAATATTAAAAGGAAGTTCTGTATACCTCTTGGGGAGAAATTGGCTAAAAGATCATGGCATGTAGGATTATGTACTCCACTTCGTAGTCTAAATTTTAGTATTAGTTGCACTGGTGCATTGTTTGTGAGAGCCTTTGCTAATGGAGAGCTGTATATATTTGAAGCATATTTGCTTCTGAAGATGTATTTTCATCATTACTTTTGCCCAGGTCTTCAAGCTCAGTCTGTAGGCTAAATCTGGCTGCCTCCTGTTTTTGTAGTTTTATTGGATCACAGCCATGCTCTACACTTCTTGCGCCCCCCGCCAGCCCCCCCCAACTGCCTTTTATATGTGGTTTATGGCTGCTTTGGTGTTAATAGCAGTGGAGTCAAGTAACTACGAGTCAGTATGACCTGCAAAGCCTAAAATATTTACTATTTGATTCTTTGCAAAGTTTGCCACCACCGGCTTTAGCCTGTTTCTGATCTGATGCAGAAGTGCTAAAGTAACTGACTTCCTTCAAAAGAGAGTAAAACACATGAAGGCTTCCCCTCCGTCCCCATTGTAATGGGATAATAGGACTAGGACACTCAAATACTCTTGAAAATCAGACTTCATACAATTTAGTCTTCAGAATTTTATCCAAGTGGGTTTTAAAGAAATTAGTTTGTGAGCAGAAGCTATAATGACATTTGAAGTTTCTATCTGTAAATGTTTGTAAGTTAAAAACATTTGTATTCAGACAGAGGGACAAATTAGAAGAAATCCTGCGGGGGTTAACTCCAAGGAAAAATGATATTGGAGATGCAATGGTTTTCTGTCTTAATAATGCTGAAGCTGCCGAAGAAATAGTGGATTGCATTACTGAGTCATTGTCCATCTTAAAGACACCCCTCCCCAAAAAGGTATGGGAATGATTTCTCTTTCTGGAACATTTATTTAAGTAAAAGAGAGATAACAGTTGACTTCTTTTTTATTGAAATTGGTGTTTTTTAATTTTGTTTTTGCATGAAGAACTTGACTGAAGAGATCTTTCCCATGCGGTCTAATTTTCCTCCTGTCTGGGGAAACTTGTTATGTTAATCAGTACACAGGTTATCAACAGGTTGAAACATATTTTATCCTTGTCAAAGTAGTGGCTTTGGTAATGTTGAATTTCTTAACTCTTGTAATTAGCTGTTATTATTATAGCTAAACATTAGCTGTATGCCACTGATTGCAAAAAATTTCAATATGGAATTTTTTCTAGATACATTATTTGCTACTGGTTTTCATTTTTAATCTCTTGTGTTATCTTTTGGTATTCTAGATTGCCAGATTATATTTGGTTTCTGATGTTTTGTATAATTCTTCAGCCAAAGTTGCCAATGCTTCATATTATAGAAAATTGTAAGTATAACGATGTAAGATGATATTCCTGAAATAAAACATTAAGGGTAAGGAATTCAGAGAAGAGGATTTTTTTGGTTAATTGATAGTTTCAGTGATAAGAAATAATTTGTATTTCTTCTTAGTTTAATAGAATTTTCTAAAAAATTGGGTTGCATTCATTAAACCACTTTAAGCTAAATGTTTAGAAAGTTTTCATATCAGTTTCTTGATAAATTACAACAAATAAGGGTTAAAAAACTTTATTTTTATTGCATATTTAGCCACTTGTGTAGTAAATAAACTGAAACAATAGAAATAATGGCAAGCATAAGGGAAGAGACCAAAGATAGAATATAAACCGTTTATAGAATCTGTGTTCTCTTTTGATCATTTTGTAGTTCACAGTGATTGTTTTCCTAGTCAATAGGAAATTATGTTGCTGTATTGTAATTAATATATAATTCTTCTTCAGAGTTTGTTTTTGATGTTTATTTTATGAATAAGGGAAACTTTCCTCTAAGAGCTGATTCTGAAATGAAATTGGGAGATGTGGATCCTAACCTTAGCTGTTATTAGGGGTTTTTTTTTTTTCTTTTTCTTTTGCCTTGGACAAGTCACTTTTCCTAGCATAAAGGGATCAGTTTAGGTAGCATAAAGTATCCAAAATGTAGTTTCTTGTTAATCGAGGAAACTAATTCTTTGCAGGAGAATAACTCAGAATAAAGAGTTCAGTTACAGTTTTAAGAGTTTAGGTACCTAGTTCTTTATTTTTAAAGAATTACTTGATTAATTTATTTATACTTTTTTTTTAAGTTCAGGAGAGGTTTTCATTGGATAGCATGCTGAAGTAGATAGAGATTTTTAAATAAACTCTGTTAAATATGTATTATTTGAATTTCAGTTTTGAAACAAAGTTATGTCAGATATTTTCAGACCTCAATGCTACTTATCGTACAATTCAAGGCCATTTACAGTCTGAAAACTTTAAGGTATGTTTATTGTTTTTTTTCCCTAGTGTGAAATGTGGTAGGGGCTGGCAAGCACATTGGAGGGCTAGAAAAGTACATAGGACAAGTATAAGACATAACATGAATCTTTCAGAAATTACTGCTTTAAAATTTACTGCCATTTCATCTTCAGTACCAAAAAGCCTGAAAGCTTGAAATATGTTATGTAGTGTTCTTTTGTTGGGTGTTTTAGTTTGACGTCTTATATTTAAATGTTTTACATACTAGTTTTTTCACAAAAAACCATTCAGAACATCACTTGTGTTGTAATGGTATGTATAATTAGGCTGGAGTAGAAACATAATTTTAGTTATTCATGTTTAGAAGATACCTTCAGTTACTTTTTATAATCTCTTAGCTGTGGACCAACGTTAAGAAAAGCTAAACAAAGTACCTTGCATATAATGGAATAAATAGATACTACTTTCATGAGAGGAAGAATTCTATTAATGAAATTTTTAGACTGGGAAGATGCCTAGTGACCCCACCATTTAGAGAATTTCAACAACTCCTTTTAAAAATTTTTTGACCTTAAATTTTGACCATAAATCAGAGCTTATAGAAAAGCTTATACTAAAAGCTTAGGGATGGGACAGAGAAAAAGTCTTAGCCAGAATCAGGAAAGTACATCATTGGACCATAAAAGAATTTGGGTCAGAACTACCTTAGTACCAATTTTAATAAATTTCTAAGTTATTATTCCCAGATGGGGCCTCTTGTACCACTGGTGGTAGGGGACATTGATCTTAGGTGTTCAGGAGCAAAACAGTTATTGTTGCTTTCTCGTTATATTTATTTCTGATTTTATTCCCATTTAGTTAGAAGGTGACTTTGTGATTTTTTAAAAATATAGTTATTTTCTATCAAGGATGTTGATTTAAAGGAAAATTCAGCAAATTGTCATGGCTCTTCTCATGAGCTGAAGTTTGAGACGTGTTTTCCTAATTAATAATTTGTTGTCTCTTTCCTACTTATTTAGCAACGGGTAATGACCTGCTTCAGAGCATGGGAGGATTGGGCAATTTATCCAGAACCATTTTTGATCAAACTACAAAATATTTTCTTAGGACTTGTAAATATTATTGAAGAAAAGGAAACAGAGGTATGTACTCAGTGTCTTTGTGTGATTATTTTAGAATTTATTTCTGGAGATGCTCTGGGGGTGTGGTATGTTATGGATGTAACATTTCTTTATGAAAAATACCTACTGTTTACCACTAACTTGTGGATTTTTGTTTCTGGAATTGCTAGAGCCTGGGAGATGGAATGATGTATAATAGGAATTCTGTTTTGTGACCTTATGTGGAAACTGGGTGACTGGGTTTCTTTCCCCTAATACCTGCATTTTTTTTTAAATTGTAGTTGACATTCAGTGTTCTATTAGTTTAAGGTGTATAGCATAGTGATTCAGCAGTTCTGTGCATTTTTTGATGCTCACCATGATAAGTATAGTTACTATACAGTGTTATTACAGTATTGTTGACTATGTTCCTCATGCTGTTTTTTTAAATCTCTGTGATTTATTTGCTTTGTAACAGGAGTTTGTACATCTTAATCCTCTTCACCTATTTTGCTCCCTTCTGACAACTACCAGTTCTCTGTGTTTAAGAGTCGGGTTTTTGTTTTTTTTTTTGTTTTTTTGTTTTTGGTCTGTTTGTTTTGGTTTTTAGATTCCATGTATAAGTGAAATCATACTGTCTTTCTCTGATATATTTCATTTAGCATAATACCCTCTAGGTCCATCTCTGTTGTCATAAATGGCAAGAATCCATTCTTTTTGATGACAACGATTTGTGTATGTGTGTGTACATCATATCTGATCCATTCATCTATCAGTAGACACTCGGGTTATCTTCATATCTTGGCTATTATTATAAATAATGCTGAAATAAAAATCAGGGTGCATGTATTTTTTTGAAGTAGTGTTTTTGTTTTATTTGGGTGGAATTATTGGGCCATATAGTATTTCTGTTTTTAGTTTTTTGAGGAATCTGCATACTGTCTTCCATAGTGGTTGCATCAGTTTACATTCTCACCAACAAACAGTACACGCTGGTTCCCTTTTCTCCACATCCTTGCCAACACTTGTTATTTCTTCTCTTTCTGATATTAGCCATTCTGGTTTGAGGTGATACATCTTCTTGTGGTTTTGATATGCATTTCCCTGATAATTAGTGATTTTGAGTCTCCTTTCATGTGTCTGTTGGCAATCTCTGTTGTCTTTTGAAAAAATGTGTGCTCAGCTTCTTCACCCATTTGTTTATTAGATTATTTGTTTTATTTTGGTGTTGAGTTGTATAAGTTCTTTATATATTTTGGATATTAACCCCTTATTGGGCATATCATTCGCAAACATCATCTCCCTTTGGTAGCTTGCCTCTTTGTTTTGTTGATAGTTTCCTTTTCTGTGCAAAAGCTTTGTTTTGGTATAGTCCCAGTAGTTGATTTTCACTTTTGTTTCCCTTGCCTGGGGAGACATATCCATAAATACATTGCTAAGGCCAGTGCCCCAGATATTACTGCCTGTGTTCCATGGTTTCAGGTCTTAAATTTAGGTATTTAATCCATTTTGAGTTGACTTTTGTGTATGGTGTACGAAAGCGGTTTTGTTTTGTTGTGTTTTTGCATTGTAGCTATTCAGTTTTCTCAGGTTCATTTGTTGAAGAGACTGTCTTTTCCTCATTATATGTTCTTGCCTCCTTTGTGATTGATTAATTGACCATATAGGTGTGGGTTTACTTCTGGGTATTTATCCTGTTCTATTGATCTATGCATCTGTTTTTGTGCCAGTACCATCTTCCTTTTTTTTAAATAAATTTTTAAAAATTTATTTCAGAGAGCAAAGAGCATGAGCAGGGGGAGGAGCAAAGGGAGAGGGACAAACAGACTCCCTGTTGAGCATGGAGCCTGATGCCAGGCTCAGTCCCACAATCACAACCTGAACTAAAACCTAGAGTCAGACGCTTAACTGCCTGAACAACCCAGGCACCCCAGTACCATCTTGATTTGATTACTATAGCTTTGTATATCTTGAAATCTGGGATTGTGATACCTCCACCTTGTTCTTATATTGCTGCGGCTATTTGAGGTCTTTTGTGGTTCCATAACGAATTTTAGGATTATTCTAGTTCTGTGAAAAATGCTATTGGTTTTTTTTTTTTTTTTTTTTAAAGATTTTATTTATTTATTTGACACAGAGAGAGAGCACAAGCAGGGGGAGCAGCAGGCAGAGGGAGAGGGAGAAGCAGGCTCCCAGCTGAGCAAGGAGCCGGATGTGGGACTCAATCCCAGGACTCCGGGATCATGACCCGAGTTGAAGGCAGCAGCCCAACCAATTGAGCCACCCAGGTGTCCCGATGCTATTGGTTTTTTGATAGAGATTACATTGCATCTGTAGATTAAAATCACCTGAAAAGCCACCTGGCCCTAGACTTTTGTTTATTTGGAGGCTTTTGATTGCTGATTCCAGTTTTGGAAGGTTGTATGTTTCTAGGAAGTTATCCATTTCTTCTCTGTTGTCCAGTTTGTTGGCAGATGATTTTTCATCTTATAATGCTTTGATTTCTTTGGTGTTGGTTGTTACTTCTTCTGCTTCATTTCTGATTTTATTTATTTGAATCCTTTTTTCTAGATGAGTAGCTAAAGGTTTATCACTTTTGTTTATCTTTTCTAAGAACTGGCACTTGGTTTGATTGATTTTTTTTAATTTTTTTGTTTCTGTTTTATTTCTACTCTTCTTTATTATTTCTTCTACTAGCTTTGGGCTTTGTTTTTCTTTTTCCAATTCTTTCACATGTAAGGTTAGATAGTATATTTGAGACTTTTCTTGTTTTTTTGAGGTAGGTCTGTATTGATACAAACTTCCCTCTTCAAACTGCCTTTGCTATGTCCTAAAGATTTTGGACTTTTTTTTTTTTTTTTTTTTTTTAATTTTCATTTGGTCTCCATGTATTGATTTCTAACGACTGGTGTTTTATTTAATGACATGAAAAGATAGATAATGTATTAGTAGAAAAAAGAAGTGGTAGAGCATTGTATACAGCACAATTTAATTTTATTAAAGTAGCTATATAAATAAATATGTACATGAAGAGATGTACCACAATGGTAGCAGATTCTGTTCATCGTGATTTTGTTGGCTTTTCACGTCCTCAGTATTTCGTGAATCCTTTATATTCATTTCTACCATCCTAATCCAATTGTATTTTCACTTTCACTCCTGTAAGATCCTCCTAATTGGCCCCCCTATTCCAAGCACATGGTCCTCATTTCATTTTCTTATATATGTTTCCTTCTACCATAGACCTTTGTAAATTTTCCTCCCTTTCTCTGAAACATCTCCTGTTTATCTGAGATCCTTCAGATGTCAGTTGAGCATAACCCCATTGAGCCTTCTCAGACCTCTTTAGGTGAAACATACTTATCACACACTTGAATAGTATGATATACTTCTTTGTTGTAGCAGTCACCATAGTGGTTCTTTGCACATTGTGATTATATATATGCCTGCCTCTCCCCGCCCGCCCCTGCAAAAAATATTCTAGTAAGCCCTATTATAGGAACAACCAAGGGAACAAACTCATATTTGTTCATCATTGTATGTCAGTCCCTTACATGGTGTACCTGGTTTCAGTAAACACTTGATAGATATTTCATAAATAATGAAAGAATGACTGCTTCTTTGTCAGGAGGATAAATCATATCCTAGATATGTCCTCACTTTGTACCTGGGAATGTTGGTATCCAGCTGGTTGGTTTGTATTGGATTGCAAATTAATCTTTTTTTAAAAATTTTTTTATTAACATGTAATGTATTATTAGCCCCAGGGGTACAGGTTTGTGAATTGCCAGGTTTACACACTTCACAGCACTCACCATAGCACATACCTTCCCCAATGTCCATAACCCAACCACCCTCAGTTTGTTTTGTGAGATTAAGAGTCTGTTGTGGTCTCCCTCCCGATCCCATCTTGTTTCATTTATTCTTTTCCTACCCCCAAAACCCCCATGTTGCCTCTCAGCTTCCTTATATTGCAAATTAATCTTATAGCAATATGACTAGTAAGCAAAGGAAAATGTTACAATAGTGTGTATGTTTCTGTAGGATGTACCAGATGACCTTGATGGTGCCCCCATTGAGGAAGAGCTTGATGGTGCACCTCTAGAAGATGTGGATGGAATTCCTATTGATGCTACTCCCATTGATGATCTTGATGGGGTCCCTATAAAGAGCCTTGATGATGATCTTGATGGAGTGCCTTGTAAGTTCAGATTTCAAACTGATGATCTAATAAGTTGGATTCCAAAACTCTTTAATTTCCACACATGTTGATGAAGTTTAAGTTGCCATTATTTTTTTCTGTCTCTTATTTCTGACTTTTCAAAATTCAAATACCCAATAATACATTTGACCCTGTCAAGAAAAGAAGTTTTCTTGTCACATTTCTTTTTGTTGGGATAATCAATATCGTATAGTATTAGTAAGTTTCTCTTTTTATCTTAACTGTCAGGAAAACCGTAGGCAAAATCTTGTGCTCAGTTTTATTTCATCCCAGATTCCTTGTTTCTTCAGTTCTCTTTTTGTTCATAGTTTATGGGTTCAGTTTTCCTAGTTGCCTAAAATCATTTTTGGAAATAGGAAGTGTACGCAGTCTTTAGTATATTTGAATTACATGAAAAGATTGAACAGTGTAGGAATTGTATAGTTTAAACAGTAATTAGGTAGAGATAATAAAGATTTTTTGTTTATGCCACAACTTCCCCATTTGCTTGAAATCATAATAACTTGTATATTCTGAATTGACACATAACATGTTCAAAATTTGGACCTCAGGTGCAGAGGTCATTAGTCATATTTCTTGACACTGGCATTATTAGTCCATGTGTGGCCTTATTTTACTTTTCAGTAATATAGTGAATGCTCATGAACTACTTAGTCATCCCCTAGTCGTCAGGGTTAATGGCTTATCTTTCCTCAATAGTGGATGCAACTGAGGACTCAAAGAAGAATGAGCCCATATTTAAAGTTGCCCCATCAAAATGGGAAGCTGTAGATGAATCTGAATTGGAAGCACAGGGTGAGTAAAAGTACAATAAATATTAGGTTTAAAAAATGGAGTACTTAAAATTATTAGTGTGTGGGTTTTTGGTTTTGTTTTGTTTTGTTTTTTGTATTTTATAATGTTTCAACCTTAAGACCCACAGTTATTTATTTTATGTCTAGTGGTCTAGTTTTCATTATGGTTGCTGTTACAATTTTCTTAGATCTTTTAGTTTGGATGCTTTGGGAGTAATCAGAGAAATCACTAAAACCTTTCAGTTAAGGCATTTCAATAGAAAATGTAGATGGGAGGTAATACCTACTTAGAAATCTATTTAGAGGTCACTTTAGAGAAACCAGGCTTTGATCTTCCTGTAATGCTTGACTTATTAGTTGCAGTTTAGACCGGCTTTTCATACTTAACTTTGCACATGTGTCCTTAGTATTTATATCTGTAATTGTTAATATTTGTAGGTTCTAATGAAATAAATGTTACCACCTAGCACAGAAATAAGAATGATAACCTTATTTGTCACTTCATGAATTTGAATAAAATTATAGCCTAGGTGTGGGGAAAGAAATAAATTTAGCACATAGAAAAGGCTATTCAAAGAATAGATAATTGTAAATAACTTTTTACAAACTTAAATAAACTTCCAATTCTAATGCTTCTGTAATATAAACTTTCAATTCTAAAACTTTTCAATTTTGGCCTTTTGTGCTACTGCAAAAATGCTAATTTACCTTTTGGAATTACACCCTTTTTTTTTTCCCTTCCACTCAGCTGTAACAACTTCTAAGTGGGAGTTATTTGACCAGCATGAAGAATCAGAAGAAGAAGAAAATCAAAAGTAAGAATCTAAGTTTCAAACATACTTAGTTTCTTATTGCATATATGCTCCCTTTTTAATTAAGAGATATGCTTGAAATAATAGTGAAGAGGACAACTTCACTCTTAAACTTGTTGAGAGGATCATTTTTAGTTGTCATTGTTTTTCCAGTGAGTGAAGAGCTTTTGGCTTCTGGTCTTGATGGATCTGGTTTCACTTTGTTTCTGAGTTGATTTTTCTATGGTAGGTATATATATTCTCAGTTGGTAGTTACTAAATGGTCAACTGCATTTATTTCAAATCTTTGTCTTCAGGTATTGTTTTGACTCCACAAAAAGTGATTTTTAAAATGTGAATGGGAAAGTTACGCTGCTTTTTATTTGAATTGTACATTGCTAAGCATTGCATTATGGCCATTCTGTTATTTAT